TCTGGCCACGCCTGATTGGCCCTTACGGCTGGTGACTGATCGAGCCCAGCGGTGGCTAGTCTCCAACCATCTTTAGGTTTGGTAAGATCTAGCATATGACATGAGAATAAGCCTTTCTGTTTCCTCTTACCTTTCTTGGGTTTTGATTTTGCGGAATCATCACCGTCACCGGAGGAGAACGATTTGCCGCCCCCAAAAACATAAAGTGTAGATCCCACAACACCCACGGGAGGCTCACAACCATTACCAATCACGATACGAGGAAGTGATGAGACTTCAGAGTGTTCAGATCCAAAACATAGTAAACAATTTCACAATAATCACGAGGTGCCATATGTAATAAATCGCAAGGGGGTTCAACCACCTCGCCCCCTACTATCATCTTATTCTTCAATTCCCCTCTCTTTCCCACCACCATTTTTTCCGGCATCGCTCCCTCTCTTCAATTCAATTCAATTGATACCTAACACTCTTAACACCCCCAATTTGCCACACTTGCGGTTGCGGCCCTACGGTAGAGATTAGATGCCTTTATTTATACGAAGCCTAAGCAATCTAGGTGGGCTTCTCTTGGGCGGGTAATTGTGGGTTACCTTCTTATCAACAATGATTGGGCTCATGACCCGTATTTTATAAGAGCACTTGTAGATTAGTAGTCCTGGCCTTAAAAAAATGTCCGTCAATTTCTTTCTATTCAAAACAAATTCTAAACACGACTTTATTTTTGGGAATATCAGTGTGGCAGGTCAAATGGAAGACTTGCTTTAACGGGTAGAGATGGGTCTCTGTTTAGTGGGTGGGGGAGCGGGGATCAATAGTTATTACGTACAACATGGTGCGGATGATTTTCCAAACTAAGTTTAATTACGAAACTAATTACGAAAGTAAACGCGTGACAAAACTATTTACCAAACTAAGCTTCCAGGGTAAAGCGATGTCTCGGACAGCGTTTTACCCCTGATTTTTTTTTCAAAAAAAAATCAAAGTGTAAAACGCTGCCTCAGTTAGCGTTTTACATATTGACTTTTTTTTTTAATTCTTAATTTCTGATTTAAAATAAATATATATATAAAAAAAAAAAAAAAAAAAAAAAAAAAAAAAAAAAAAAACACTGACTCAGTCAGCGTTTTTAGTGTATATATATTTTTTTTAATTATCACCAAGGGTTTAACATTTGCAAAGAAAAATGGCGTCTTCGATGCTCAAATCCCTGTGAAAATCAGCGGCAGCAATTAGCTCGTCATCATTTCTGAATCATCAGATTTCTTCAACTTCAACAGTTTCTAATGCAGCAAATGAAGATAGAAAAAAAAAACACTAAAGAAGAAGAGTATGGTGAAATACCCACTAAAGGAATTAGAAGACCTATGTCTCAAATTCTTAAACAACTCAACAAAAAAGTTACTGATTCTCTTATTAGTAATGGGGTATTGAAAAACTTTTGTTGTAGGGAGATTATGGTAGGAGGAGGAGGTACAAATTAAAAATTGAAAAAAAAAATACACTAAAAACGCTTTTTTTTTTTAATTTTAAATCAGAAATTAAGAATTTTTTTTAGAAAAAAGTCAACATGTAAAACGCTGACTGAGACAGCGCTTTACCCTGCAAGCTTAGTTTGGTAAATAGTTTTGCCACGCGTCTACTTTCGTAATTAATTTCGTAGTTAAGCTTAGTTTAGAGAATTATCCACATGGTGCACCTATTTTTAAATGCACCACATCTATAATTTGAACATTAAATAAATAAATAAATAAAAAATGAACATTTAGTACCTTCTACAATGGCAAATGTGGCAATATGACCCCCTAATTTAGATTCATAGTGTAATTAACCCCTTTAACTTTACAATGTGACATTTTAACCCCATTTGTTTTAAATACGTGAAATTAAGTATAAATTCAATTTTCCAGCCAAATTATCACCGGAAAATGATGACATGGCACGTTATGTATATCAGATTTTGATCGTTTTACCATATACACAAATAAATACAATAAAAATATGTATATTTTACCATTATATACATTTAAAATAACATATATTCTGATTTTTCCCAAAAATACATATAATCAAGAGAGACAAACTTTTAAATAAATTGGATGTACAATAAATATTGTACATCCGTTATAAAGTTACCCCTAAAATATTGTACATCCGTTATAAAGTTACCCCTAAAATAAATATTGTACGAAGTATTTATGCTTTATTGATAAAAGTTACCCAAAAAAATTGTAAAAGTGACCCTAAGTTTAATAAAAAGTGACCCCCGATGTACAGTAAATTACTGTACACTGGATGTATACAAAAGTTATTCATAAAGAGAAAGGTAAACGTAATTAAACACTTTTTGTTCTTCTCTTCCAAAACCTTCTCCAAAAACGTCATTCTTCATTTCTCCATGGATGATGCTCTTGGTAAGTTTCCTAGCTGTGCATGTCAATTGTACCTTCTTGTGTTTAATGCTCACATGTATCATTTCAAGGGAAAATTTAGCATATGAGTAAAAATTAAGCAATTTTCAAACTGCATATAAATTAGGGCATTCTTATTACTAATTCTTTAGATTTAATTATGTAAAATAATCATGCTTGTGCAAACCATGAGGGAAAAGATTAAGTTTATGCATCATTTAGAACAAATAATAGATAATAAAAGCATCTATCTTCAATAATGTACACATGTATAAAATTTATCTACTTTAGATGTATATTATATAATCCTATTTTATTGATTAATTGTAAAAAAAATAGAATTAAAGGTAAGATAATAGATGATGTATGGAGTAATTTTAATTGTAAAACATACATATTTTTATTGTATTTATTTATTTGTTTATAGATTAAAAAGATTAAAATTTAATATACATAATGTGCCATGTCATCATTTTCCGGTGATAATTTGGTCGGAAAATTGAATTTGTACTTAATTTTACGTATTTAAAAACTAATGGGGTTTAAAATTTAAAATGTCACATTGTAAAGTTAAGGGGGCTAATTACACTATGAATCTAAGTTAGGGGGTCATATTGCCACATTTGTCAATCTGCAATAATTATGGTAGTTGGGATAAAGAAGAGAGAGAAAGGTAATAATACAAAATTGCCCATGTGATAAACACAAACTAAAGAACAAGTGTGAAAAAGTATGGGTGTCTTAGTTATTTGTACTGTGAACACAAAAAAATTTTGTCGAAAAATGAAAATGGTACAATATTTGTAAACTTCTTGAAAAGGCAAGTGGTCTAATATTAATAATAATAAAAAAAAAAATACAGAGAAAGTATTAGAATTCCAATGACCGTTTATTAATTTGTGAATGATTATATACTAATATATAAATGAACATTTATCAAAATAAAAATGACTGTTGATCAAATTGAAAGTGAATGGTTATCAAATTGAATTTTTACTACAGAATATATTTACATTTATATACTCCTACGAAAGATGTCAAATTATCCAAAAAATTAGGACAATTAAATCAATTTTCTTTTTATGTCCAACAATTTTGTTATCTAATAACGCATGAAAAATTAATTCAACAACTACCCCGGTTTTCTATATCTAGAGAAAATCAATGCGTGGTTCCTACACCCAGGTGTACCATGCACATGGTAAACCTGTACACCTGGATCAAAACGACAGGCCCAAATGAATAAAACGCGTGCTTATTAGAGTAGAGAAAGGCAGAAAGAACAACAGGTATAGATACAAAGTCCACAACATTAAATATGAATATTTAGTTTCCTTTAATTTAGGAAAAGATAATTATTAATTGATCTTTAATTACCCACATATTAGCTGTCATATCTTTTCAAAATATTTGACTTTTCCAAATTCATTTTTTCTCTCTCTTCATATTATTTTATCCCAAAAAAATTCAATCTTTTCCAAAACAAAACATTCAAATTTGTACTGGAAAAGTTTTTTTTTTCACTAAAAAAATAATATCCCTATATTTTCAAAAAAAAAAACGTTCATATTTTTCACTTAAAAATCCTTTCTTTATATTTAACTAGATGAAAGCTCGTGAGATGCACGGTTTTTTTTTAAAAAAATTTTACGGAGTACTTATATTAAACCATATAATATTTTGATTAATTTGCTGGTTAGAAAAGAATAGTTTTTTTATTTTTTTATTTTTTATTATTCATTCGTTTTAGTTATGTAAAAATTGTATCTATAATTAATTAAATAAATCACAAATATGGTATATATCTCATCCGTCAAATATCAGGATCAATATCGCCCATAAACATTCTTTTTCGTAGGGAAAATTGTCATTAATAATACAACCTTTGGCCCATTTTTATTAAATAATACAACCTTTGGCCCATTTTTATTAAATAATACAACTTTTGGATTATACCTAAATATTACAACCTTTGGGATCTTAGCTTTAAATAAGACAAAAACCGGATACAACTTGATAAACAGATTAACAATGCCACATGTCGCTATATGATTGGCTTAAATAAAAAGTTTTTTTTTTCTTTTCTCTCTCCTTTCCCCAAACACCACCACTGCTCCACCTAACCCCACCACCACTGCACAACTCCGATCCCCATCCCCACCACCAAAACATGCCCCTCCCCTTCCCCACCACCAATCAGAAACTCCCCACCGCACCATAGCAGGCCCAATTCCTGACCACCGTTGCCAACTCCCACCACCAAAAAACTCCCATTTCCTCTATTTCTCCCCTTCCCGAACAAAGTAGCCCCAATTCCTCCCCATCATGACCACCCCGATTCTTCCTCTTCCCGACCACAACAGCCCTAATTCCATTCAATACAATACAAAATTGTTGGTCTTTGGATTAAGAGGTTATGCCTTTCGAATTTCTGGGAAATTTGGAATAATTAGAGTAAAATAAGATTTTAAATTTGGTTTCGTGGGGGATTGTTGGTGTTATTATCAGATGATTTTTTTTGAAAGGGATAGGTAGAAATTGGACATGAAAACTTATAATGTATGAGCTTTAGGCCTTTTTCCCTATGCAAGGGATACTATGTTAGATGTTTGTTAAAATGGACAAATTAGAAGATTATTTTGTTACTTTTATGTGTAATAGATTAATTTTTTTTTTTATTTTTTATATATCTGTCTTTATATTAAAAAAGACTATGCAGAAGCTATACCCATTTTATAAATTTCTTAATTTTAATATGATTTTGGTCATTGTTAATCTTGCAATTCTTGGGTATATGATGGTGTTGATGAAAATAGTTGCTGGAAAATGTTGAGTGGGTTTGGATTTTACTTTATAATCTGCTGGAATATTGTGGGGGTTGGATTTTAAGAGGCTCGATAGTGGTTGATAAGTGAATTCCATCAGATTTGTATGTTAATCTAATGTTCCGTTCTTATGAGGTCTGATCAATTTTCACCTTTGCATTAATTTGGTTAAATTTACTTGAAAGTTGATTGGAGATTCTTGGTTTTGATGATTTGGTGCAATAGCTTACCATTGGAAATCAATTGAAGTTTGAGTTTATCCTATTTTATAGATTGAATTTGTTGATATCTTAAGCTACCTAATAAGTTGATTTCTTAAGCCCTTTATTGGTGCTTTGTTGAATTTTTGTAATTTGAGTTGTGATTAAATTTTTATCTTCCCTGTAGCCTCACTGCCTTAGTTGATTAATTACCAATCTGAGCTTTGGTTCATTCTTCATTTTTTAATATTTTTTTGTTTCAATAGACTTTCCTCTTTGTAAACTCAAAATTTAATTTGATATGCAGGGAATTATATCCAAGGGTGGGTGATTTCTTGAAGGTCTTGTTTCCGGTAGTATAAAAAAACAATGCTGAGGACGTTCAATTGATTATCCTGGCCGCTAGAGAGAAGGTAAGAGATGAATGTTTGTCATATATGTATCATCTTATAACCACATCCTATCTGCCTTATTTCCATACTTCAGATCTGTTACATTTTGTTCTCTTGTTACTTTTCTTTAGAGGTGTACTGGTCTGAGGTGAATGGAAGAAGTAATACTTTACATAATTTGAATGAAGTACTGTGATTTTTTTTTTTTTGTGACCCATGTCACTACAAATGGATTAAGTTAATTTCTCCAACCTTTTGTTAGCTGACATGCTGCCTTTTTTCAGTTGCTGCATAAATATAAGTGGCTTGAACCTTTGGAGTCAGGTTTCATTTATGATAAGCTTTGAGAGTCTAGCAGAAATATTTCAGGTAATATTATGGTGCAGTCACACTTCCAGCCTATTGATTTGGTCTGTGTTGATTCTCCCAGGTATTCGGTATAACTTCTATGCGGCTTTTCATTGTTAGAATAATCTTTGGCATGTTTGTGTGATTACAACGTATACTTTGAGGCATGCTCATTTATTTATAACCAGGAATTTGGCCTTGTATAACCTTTTTGATCTATTATCGTGGTGATTGGCAATTATTGTGCATCATAAATGATTTTTAGGGTGTGTTGAGCGAAAGCTGATCATTTCTTGCCTTTTTAGTAATTGGATAAAGTTGTACTGTGGGTTATGCCGTACTTGACCATGTTTGCTCAACCTTGCACATCTTGGGAGTCTAATATGCTCTTTACATTTTTTAATTCACTCTTAAAGAGTTACAAGTTAATTGTTCAGAGTTCTTCCATTTAGAGTTAAATTGAATCTTGCTTCTGCTTTTTTTTTTTTTTTTTTTCCAGATATTAGAAACTAGCTGCGCAATATTGAGAAACATGCTTTTGATAACGTGAAAATTATTTTGGTAGGAAATAGGAACAAGGTACTGAAGAATAGGGATTTTTATCTTCTGGTCGGATGTGGAATGAGGTAATGATGTTTATTGTAAATTCGTCTCTCTTTTTTCCCTTTCTCTGCCTATCTTAATTGCTAATTTCGGTTCCCATATTTTCTCTGCTCCATACCCATCTCCTTCTCTCTCTTCCTCCCATCAAAACTCCCCTAACAAATTTGCAGTAGTGCTCGACGAAGTCAAGCTACACATGTCACAAAATCAAGAAGATCATCGAACAAGAGTTCATCCCTGATATCCCTCCATTTTTCAGAGAGAAATGTTGCTGCTACTGCTGTTTTCTCTTATCTCGCTTTCTCTCTCTAGAATGGGTGTTTTTGAGGGTTTTTCAAAGAATTTAGGTAAGGAATAGCACTACATATTCCGATTATTCCATGATTATTAGTATCAATTTCATCTGATTAATTGTTCTGATGATCCAATTTTCAGCATTAGCTCATGGGTTTTAATTTCATCGAATACCTATTTCACAATCTTCTTAAGGTAAGGTTATTTTTTCTTTCATTGAACACCAATTTCACAATCTAGGGTTCATCATTAATCGATTTGTGTCCGAAAGTCCACTTGATATTGTGGTGGTCATGTGGCGTGTTCCGTGGTGGTAGTGACGGTACAAGATGAGAGATCGGTGCGTGCTATGGTGTTTGTAGCCTTGCGTCGAAAGTCTTCCTGATAATGTAGATGGTCAGGCAGCGGGTCCTGTGGGTGATAACGGCGGTGCAAGATGGTTTTGCTGAAGGGGAGGTCATGAGTTATGTGGTCCTTAGCTTTAGGGAGGATTGTTGGGATTGGCAATCCAAGTCCCACATGGAAGAAATAAGGAAGGGATGACTTCCTTATAAGGGGAAGCACACTCCATTAGTATGAGGCCTTTTAGGAAGATGCCCAAAAACAAATCCGTGCGGGCTAGGCCAAAGCGGACAATATCATATTAATGTGGTGCAGAGTGTGTGGGCGGCCCGACGATGTAGGTGACCCGAGCTCAACATGGTAAAATTAAACTACTTAGCTTTACCAATTTAGCGCTAATGACTATCATCTTATTGATTGATCAACTAATCATGGCAAGCTAGACGCCCTCTAGGCGTTCTAAATGTGATTTCAGGTTTTGAACCAATTGCTCGTGCAACCCTCTGTTCTCACATGAATGTGGACAAGGTAAAAAGGAACTATATATTCTGTTGCGCTCACTTGTTTGTTAATTCTAACTAAAATAAGTAAATTACAATAGATACTAAAAGTGTTAAGAGGTTTGGAGACTTTGGACACAATGCTGCATTATAATAATAATAGGAGAGAGAAATAATAACATATTTGTACAAGTGGGCTGTGGAGTTAATGAGAGAGATATAATAAATTCGTAGTAGGCTTAACTCCTTGCTAGATAGGAAGTGTTGCTATTATTACTAAACGGAGGATGTATATTATTAAAATAATATAATATGAATTTTCCTGAATTTATGTTGGCATTAAATAAAGTTTTTCTACAAGCATTGCGTTTTCTTAAAATTGTGTAATTTTAAGGCTTATTAATTTTACTTTTTTCGGCTAGGGAATATTAAAATCTATATTTTTTATAATACTGCAATTTTACAGGAAATTAAACAAGCATTTTGAGAAATTGACACAGTGTGATATGCATCTTAATTTCCTGAGCCGGTAACCAGAAATAAGGCTAGATTCTCCATACTTCGATTTGCAGCCTTCTGTTTTTGACGACTCAAATGAATCTAAAAGTCATAGCTTGGATCAAATATAAACTAGCAGAGGATCTAGAATCTCAATCTTTGAAGATGTTGGAATACATTTATCCCAGTAATCATCTCTCTTAGTCAAACAAGTTATGGAACATCTGAGACTTTGTCTTGTGAAGCTACTTCTCTAAGCTCAGGTATCCTTTTTATCACCATGTCTACTACGATTTAGACACCATTGATGTTGTTGTGTTTGTCCTAGACCTCTGTATTTGGAGATGGTGTTTGAAATTTGGCATGGATTCCTCAACAATTTTCTTGTTAGAATTTTTGTTTTCTTTCTTTGTACATCCTTATGATGAATTTATTGTAAGATATGCCAATATATCATACCAAAAGATATTTTTATGTATTTTTTATTTTTTCCCGGGGGGGGGATATGATTTGGCTTGAACCCAAAAAACCTTGTTGCCACCTTTAAAGCAATTTGTGGTCATGCTTCTTGTTTTATAAATGTTCACTACCATAAAAATCCTATGCTTTAATGGGGGTAGGGGTGTGGGGCCGTAGGGGAGTGACTGCCGACACTTAATATGTCTAATACCTTTTATTTAACATAGTAAGATTGTTGGCAATATAATTAAATATGATTTGGCCCAAACTGACCTGATTCAGTTGAACCACTAGTAGAAAATCATAAATTAGCACCGGTTCAAAACCCCCCTATTGCACCGGTTTTGAACCGGTTTAGATTTGAGGGATGCCAAAAAAAAAAAACTTTAGCACCGGTTCAAAACTGGTGACAATTCTAAGTTTTAGCACCGGTTAACCGGTGAGAATTAATATTCTTGGTATCGGTTAATCGGTGCTAAAAAACATTTTCGCGCACATCCTTGGTAAGTCAACCAAAACAAGAACTGCAGTAGCAACATCCTTGGTAAGGTAGCCTGACAGTTAGTTTACATCAGTTAGCCAACCTTTGTAAGCTTCACTGGAGTGAACATACTCACCGAGCACAGTCTCAAAACTATATTAAACAAAAACCAGAACAGTTCAAGTAACAATTTTTTTTTTACCCAAAAAAATCACATCCTAAGCCTAGGTAGTTGGATATCTGCAACCCGGGCTACATGTCCATTCCTCTTTCCCAACACACAATAGCAAAATAATATATCGGCAAGGAGAAAAAACAAATAGACAAAATGAAGTAATAGGTGGTCTACAGTGATGCAGCCAATAGATTGTGTTTCGGGGTTTTTTTGTGTCTTTCGGGAGAGTTACAATTCCAAGACTGGATTCTGGACGCTGTACCTGCAAAACAACGGAGACTTCGATTGGGTGGAGTTCCGCCTCCGACAATCAAGTTCAAACGTGTTCCGATATAAAAAATGCAGAAAAGTAAGGTGTCTTCCCGGATTCTGAGATCAGGTTAAGTGGATGTCTGCAATTACTAATTGCTCTATTTTTGGGAATAATTTCTGAATGTGTTTCCTACATCTCCCTTTTATAGGGTCTCGTAATGCGTGCTCCCATCTTAGGTTACGGAAACCCAGGTATGGTGGGCTTTCTCGGGAATCGGCCCAATTAAGAAGGCCACCAAACCCTTTTCTGAATATCTGTCTAACACGTGTCAAGCCCTGGTAGGTCCACTTTGGGCTCCCCTAAGGGTGATACGTGGCGGACCCTGATTGAACCACATGACATGCTCTGATTGGACCACGTGACATGAACTGATTGGACCACGTGGCATGGGTATTTTTACCCAAATCATTTGCCCCTCACAGGGGTGACGTGGATTGCCACGTGACGCCTGTGATAGACGTCACAAGCTTACTGGTTTTTTTTTTTTTTTTTTTTTTTGATGTGACGGTTCGTCTTCTTGGGGAAGTTATAGGGGTGCCCCTGTTTTTCTCCCCTCTATAAATAAGGTTCCCCCCCTTTTCTCCCCTCATTTTGGAAAGTTGTCTGAATAGAACTTAGAGAGAGAAAGAGAAGCTTTGATTTCGTCTGCCTTTGTTTTCATACAACCTCTTGCTATTCGTCTGACACAGCCGGTATACCGTCCGTGTTGCTCTCAAACAATTCACACAAAAATCGCCTGGGTACCCTAAGACAGTTACCTCCCTTTTTCAGTGATATACAGCCGGGACACTGCCTGGGTATCGTCCAACCAATTCCCTTACTTTCATAGTAGCCACAACCGGCCATCCGCTTGTGTAATCAGTAAACAAAGAATCCGGGAACCGCCTGGGTATATTTCTAGAAAATTTTCGTGCTTTCCAAGTGGGTACATACGGTTAACCGTCTGTACCTCTCTCAAGCAGCTAATTGATTTCCGCCTGTCTGCCACAGCTGGTCAGCACCTTTCTTCAATTTCACACATCTTTGAGGTACCGTCTCCCCCCCTGTAACTCTTTTGAGCTTTTTACCGTCTGATATATTGCATTGAATGATGGATTCCTCCACCACACACACGGCACTATCAGTAGTTAGCTGGTCTCCTGGTATGGCTGAGTCTAGGACTGGGGGTGTCGCCTGGGGGTGTTTGGACCACCCTTGCTCTTCCTCGAATCCAACCATCTCTGTGCATGTGCAGGACAGTATGGCTAGGACGAAGCGAACGACGATTGACCCAGATTATAGATTAGACGGCTCAGCTGAGGCGCCGGCTGACATTGAATACCACGATTCCCCGGGTGCACCCAACACTCCAAGTGAAAATATCTTAGAAGACTCTGATCAAGGAGACGACGCTTAAGTCGTCCAACGACCTGATTCAGAGGCGTCATCCTCTCCTCAGGCGGATGCCGCCATTGAAGATGAGGAGGTGTACAAATGGTCGTCTATAACTGACCCGACTGAGGCGCGCATGTTCGCTAGAGATATTGTCACCCTAAAAACCACTTTTCCAGCCTTTTTACAGAAATGTCCAGTGGGGGATAGGTGAGAAATTATTGTGCCGCCTGCTGAGGCGACAGTCGTCTGGGATGATGGCATTGAACATGCTAACAATTACTTCGGCTGCTATGAGGCGGCATTCAAAACCGGCCTCCGGTTTCCCCTTCATAATGCGATCAAAGCCATCTTAAGGGGCTATGATCTAGGCATATGGCAACTCACACCCAATTCTTGGGTGAATATTATTAGCTATATCGCCGCCTGTGAGTTTCAAAGTATAACGCCTAGCTGAGAGGCGTTTTCCCGTATACATTATCTGAGTCGGGCACCAGGCGGCTGGAAGGCGTGGTACACTTTAATCACGCATCTGTACATGATGACGCTTGACAAACCGTCTAAGTGGAGTAATTGGAAAAGAAAGTTCTACTTGGTTTCCTCTCCATCCAAACATGTAAACCGTTTTCTCCGTCGCTACAATAAGCAGCCAAGCTCTCTTGGGGAAGAAGTGCTTCCTTCAGCGTGTCCCAAAGGAGGCTTGGACGCAATTATTGGAGCCGGAGTTTTTCAAGACGGCCACCATGTCTATGGATGATGGTACTGAAGTAATTGTACCCAAAAACTAGGGACCCTATCCGGACTGGCTCAAGGATGAGGCTTTCCTTTCCGCCTATGGCCTTAGTACCTTGTTTAGCAGACTTAGGTAGACCAATTAACCAACACTTAAGTGTCGCCTCTATCCTTCTGTTGATTTTTTTATGTTTAACCAACCGGTTCTCCTTTTGCAGAAAAAGGTCTAGAAATGGTGCCGCTTGAGAAGACACTTGCTAGGTCAGCAGCCTAGTTTTGGAAGGATCAAATTGAAAATAAACGGGCCAACTAGCGTCTAAGGAGGATGCGGTGACTTCCGTTTACGTGCTTTAATTTGTTAGATTTTATTTGTCATCAGACGACTTTTAACCGGCTGTGACCCTTGTGTTTGATTTTCAGGGTGGAAGTAAGATTGTTCCCTGCTCCCTCTCCAAGATGCTCAAAAGGAAGGCTGATGAACCTTCCAAGACCCTTCTAAGGTCAGGAAGGGCCCGCTTTCCCAGAGGGCATGATCAAGGTCGCCTATTCAAAGCCGGCCAACTACTGCAGGCAAAAGCCTGAGAGATCTCGGTCTGAGTACCGAACCGGTTGACCAGGGGCCGGGCGTCCCTGAGATGCCGAAGAGTGGAATGCCAATCAATGCTGCAGCCAGTCATGCAGCGGCTGGGGGTGATGTGACCCCTCAGTCTGAACCTCAACGTATGGCTTACAACTTTGATCTCCCATGGCCGCTTGGGCCTATGCGAGTCAAGTCCCCAGTTACCCAATTTGGGGATTCTTCTAGCAGCCGACACAATATTGGTGCCGCCTATGCTGCTGTCTTATCACATCACTCTATTGGTGCAGATGCCTCTCCAAGATGGCCTGACTTCCAACAATATTCCAAACGGATGCTGAGGTGCCTCACTCGGTCTGAGAAAGATTTGATTCCGGGAGTGCATCAGGTCAACATGGACTGCATCAATGCCTTACTTGCTGAGGTAACTCACCGACTGCATTCTCTGAGCTTAATTAACTCTTTGCCGGCTGAGGTCTCTAAGGTGAGTTAACTTCTCGCCGGCTGACTTAATTGAGGTACATTAACCTTTTACCTGCTGTGTTGTGCAGGTAATGCTGAGAATAGAAGGGCTCAAGGTCCCGTTTAGAAAGAAACAAGAGGAGGTAAGATACGCCAATAAACGGACGGCTGATACTCTTGATGTTGCTTAATACAAATGTATTATGAATGACATAAGGTCTAAAGCCCGGGAGATGAAACAGGAGGAGTTGATCAATGAGCTCACAACTGCCGTGGAAACGGCCAACAATAAGACGTCTGACCTTAAGCAACAAATTAAGAACCTTCAGTCAGACCTTAAGGCCCTGGAAGATGCTGATAAAGAGAACACCCAGCTTAGGGCAGACGTCTCCCGGCTGAAGGATGAGTTGGCCCAGGTGCAAAGTGACCACAAGGCTGAGCTGGCTGCCAAACAAGAATGGCTGGTGGATGAGAATGAGCGATATTGTGAAGCTCGCATGAAAATGGCATGGAATCTCATCCATCCGGACTATGACTGGGAGTTCTTCAACTTGAGTACAAGTATGCCTCTGAGGTATACGATGCCCAGTCCCTCGGTCTTGAAGCGCTTGCTCCCTTTGAAGAATGGGATGGCATTGAGCTGTCTGATGAGGAGCATGAGAGTGAGGAGCTCAATGAGCCTGAAGAGCATGTGCCAGTTGAGATTGACCAAACTCAACCAAGGCAACTTGAAGATGAGCTCCCATCCGGCCAGGACCAACCGGTACCTCCACCATAGCAAACTTAAGCTTTGTCTTTGTTTCCGGCTTGTGTGCCGAGTATCTCAATATAATTCCTCAACAATCTTCCTTTTTCTCCGGATGTAGATCAGGTTAACAATTACTCTCCCGGCCTTTTGGTCGATTTTGCCTATCTTTACCATTTGCATTAATTTTTCAATATTTGCAATTTTTTATATGTATATGCTTGCAATTTTGGCAAACCTGTTGATGGCACACGGTACTGAGTGGACCGTCTACCTTTTGCCCCTGGACGGTTGTGTGGTTGGTGTTAAAGTAGATTGATTGACCGGGGGAGCTTTGATACTTTAGGGAGTATGAAGGGTTCCTAGGTCAATCAATAACTACCATGATTGCCCCACACCAAGTACACAACCGTTCATTAAACAGACGGAATTCGATTGCACACC